TTGTCCAAGGTCCCGCTCCTCCAGCCAGCGAGGAAATTTGGTTTCGTGCCACCCAACCCCAGCAGCCTTTGGACGCTGCCTGGCCGCTCTCGTTAATGTTTAACGAGGAAACAACTCCTTTCCTGGTTAAATTCACTGTTTTTCTTGGAATTTCATGTCCTCGGGGACATCAGAAGGGGCCTGGGGTCTTCCCCCAAATCCCAAGGGATGCTTCAGCCCCAAGGTGTTTGACTGTTCCTACTTCAGGCTCCTGAAACCGGGGGTCCCCCACCCCGCCCCCGTGTTTCTCTAATTAGGAACTCTGTGCCCTCCCCAGCGCACGTTAATTGAAGCGTCGTTAATTCTCTCAGATGCTGTTACCGGACGTGATTTACGGCAAAATGGGGCAGTGGGGAATTTTCCTTTTCTGTGTGAGAGACAGTAGGTTTTGGTCCCGCTTCCATTACGGACAAGGGGATGGGCTGTCTGTCGTGACTGGTGTTGGATTTAGTGCAGGGGTACTCGATCCCACCCCTCTCACCCCACCCTCCCATCACCCTTTACCGACGCAGGGAGCGCAGAAGGGCAGCAGATCCCATCATCACCCCGTCAGGGTCCCGTAACAAGGCGAGACAAACCCACTTTTCATCCTATTTTATTATTTCACATCCCATTTTCTATCCCAGCTCAAGCCAAGCGCACAAACCAGCCACAGCGCTGTCACCTCGCCGCTCTCGCGTCCTGGCACGATACCATCACAGACTGATTTCATGGATGATCGCAAAATGTTCACACAATGTTCTCACAAGCCCCCACACGAGCTCTCTGAAAGCCCACCCTGCTCCCTCGGTCCCTGAGCTAGGTGGCAGTGTCACCCGAATTCTGCAGCCTCCGAGAACACCGGGTATTTCATAAACCATGATGCAAACCCCAAGAGTCTGACTCTTGATAAACAAAATGGTTGAAACCGCATCTCCTGCGTCCTTTGTGAGGACTCGTTGTCTCCTGAAAACCTCCGGAGTGTGATGCGAGCCCGGATCAGCCGGACCGTCACCTTTTCAGACCCGGCTCTGCGCCCATCGAAGCACCCTGCTCACTCAAGCTCCCTCCCCTTCCCCAAAATCAACCACTCAAGCAGCCAGGCAAGAAAATCCCTTCGTGAGAGGCAGCTTTAATGCCAAAAGCTCCTCCCCAGGCCACAAAAATTTAACTGTTGTACAAGGGAACCACTCTGGAGATGCCCTGCCGGCAGATGGGGCACTTTTTGGGTTCGGGGAGAGCTCGGTAGCACTCATGACACGAGCAAACGTGCCCACATTCCAGGAAGACGCAGGATTTGGTGTTGCTCAAGCAGATGACACAAGCGTTTTTGAGCGTCTCTCCGCCCTCCGCGTTCATTTCGCGCATCAGGCGCTCCTGGGCCTGCCGGAATTCATCCTGCATTTGTTTGAGGTGCCGCCGCTCCCGGTGATGCCGGTATTGCTTCCGTAGGATGAAGAAGAGGATGGCGCAAGTGGCAAACCCGAAAATGACTGTGAGGATTTTCCAAAAGCGGACGTTCGATTCTTGTTTCTGCAGCAAGGAGTCGAAATCCCCGCTGCTCAGGTAGTAGGGCATGCCCTGCTTGGGGGGCTGCAGTTTGATGGTGGCATTATCCAGGACCAGCTCGCCCACTCCCGTCAGCGCCGTGCCCACCCTCAGCATCTGCTCCGTCTCCTGAATGCCCTTCGGCCGCTCTCCGCTGATGTAGTGGCCGATAACGTCGGTGAAGGACTGGACAGAGGGGTGGAATTTCTCGTACACTGTCTCCAGGCTGAGCTCGGCAGCGTCCAGCGGCTTCATCACCCTGACGGTGACAGCGGTGCCTTCCTCCGGAGGGACCAGGTCGAAAGGGGTGGTGTTGGTTCGCTGGTGGATGATCTTCTCGTAGTCATTCCTGGGGAAGGAGAAGGGGATAAACCAAACACTGAGCATTAGTGCTTTCTCTGAGGCCCTCAGGGAAACACCGCATGGTCTGATCTGCTTTTTTTGGGGGGACTGACAGCCGTCACCTGCCCTGGGAGAAATTTATTTGGCTGGGATTCTCTGGAGAGGTCCAGGTCTGGGGCCACACATTTCAGTGTGCCTGAAAGCCGGATGTTTGTGGGTGCTGGGTGCGTACCAGAGGTGGGTTGTTCGGTTCCAGACCATCTTATGCTCCTGCAGCGTCAGCCTCTGAACGACGCCCTTGCAGTTCTCCACAAACTGGCTGCTCAGGGTCTCCTTAACAGACCGCACGACGCCTGAAAGATAAATCCAGCATGCGCGTGAGGTGCTTGTTAATCATCTGCTCTGTGTCTTACTGTGTGCAGCGAGGAGGGGCAGCGCTGAAAGGGGGCTTAGGGAAAG